GGACAAGAACAAGGTCCCGGGAATACGGTGGTTGGCACTAGCACACCATAAAAGCTAAACAGGAGTCCGAGACTGGTTATTCTGAGAGTAGACCGCAGTTAAACAAACTAAACCGAAGTGCTAATCTGCCGTGATCTTTTCCTTTTAGTTGGCACTCCGACAAACCCTGATGCGCAGCACATTCTTCCAGAGAGTGCCACGACGAAAGGAGGAGCCTGGAGGCTGGGGTGACATCTGGCGACTCAACCCAGAAATCAGAATGCAGATCAGGGGTGGTAGCCAGCGCAAGACAGTCCACGGCGCAACCACGAAGCAAGTGTGCGAGGGTGATGAGGGCACAGCAGACTACCCGCACGGCACCAACAGACCAGCGGAGGAAACCATACCTCCTTCCCAAAGTCCAACGGACGTACACTGGACACGTAGACACAATTCGGCCTCAAGCTCATCACCATCCTCCGTCGGATTGCATACACCACCCTCCAGCCAACCCCTCGACTCCGCCAACTCTCCGGAGTTACCCATTTCTCGACTTCTCGACTTTATGACAGAGGATGTGTCACTGCTAGAGAATTCTATCAAAGACTGTCGCTCAGGCTTTGATCCCTTAGTACAAGCCCAAGCCAAGGGTCTGCATGACCTAGACGAGATGGACGTCTTGTTATCTGAGGACGCAGAGCACGCGGCAAGCCTCTTCAAGAACTGTCCGAGTGGATCCACCAGCCCAGACAGGACAGAGAGCCCGGCAAAACTGGACTTCACCGTAAAGGGCGTGGGCCTCAAGCGTTCCATGGACTGGTGGCCGGAAGACTTGGCCAACACCGTTGAGGACTTCATCCACAATCTACCCAACCCAGACTTCTCCACTGATAAGCCAGCTAACGGAAAACTCAAGGCCGACAGTGACCATCCACCAATGGCCAACTTCCCCGACCTCCCGATCGACTACCCCATGACAGAGACGTCGGACGAACATCCCTGGGTCGATGACAGGCTCAATCTGGAAGAACTAAACAGTATTCTTGGACTCAACTGACGCACCCAAGCCCTCCACTGCTTAAGAACACTTTATTAGTAGAGTCAAGAACGATGCAGTCCAGCGGACTATTGTACAAATGCACATAATCTTTTCTGTAAAGTTTGCCTTTCGGAAAATGTATTTGAAATTTGCTGAAATTACAAAACGTTGGCCTTGTTTAGAAGGGAGAAAACACTGGTT